CCCTTCAAGTTTTCGTATAAAATGCATTTTCTTATAATTTAGACCTCATTTATCAATATACCCATGGAATATTGACATTTTAGATTGTTTTTAAAGGTACAAAATGTAATATTATCGTTTTTAGCAAAATGATAATATTACTAGCCCATTTGTATGCAAAAAGAAAACTATTTAAATCTTTATAAAAGAGTATACCTTTAATTAAATATACCACCATTATTTCCGCCCAAATACTAATTAATTACATACTTAATTATGTTCGTTAATAAATTATTCTAAATAAATGTAAATTTGAATCAGAAATCAATATAATAATAAGTTATGAAAATGAATGTCTCTGTTGTTATAAATAAGCATTTGTCAAAAAATGAAATATCATTTTTAAAGTGTTACTTTTTACCACACTGTTTAATACACATACAAAATTCAGTTTTTTAGCATTTGGAGTAATTATTATTAATCAACAACAGCAAACAGTCAATTAATGTAGTTTGAACCCTGGAATCATATTAATTGGTCCTATAACAAATATTTAAACAGTTTCTTTTTAATTTTTAATGAAATAAACAAACTATATCGACAATATTAGTATCTGTACTCTTTAAAAATTTGGTACATCTTTAAAAATAATCTAAAATATCAGTATTCCATGGGTATATTGATAAATGAGTTTTAAATTACAAGAAAATGCATTTTCTACGGAAACTTGAAGAGATAGGTAAAAAATGGTATAATACAATTTGATAGACAATTAAATTGTGCATCTGATTCTCATAAAATATACAGGGTGTCCTATTTAAATTAAACAAGTTATTGCCGTTTAAAGATATTAATTATTTAAAATAAAATTTTGGACACTCTGTATAAGGTAGTATAATTTTTATTATTGCAGCACAATAACTGATCGATAAATAAACTTCAGTAAATATTTAGTATTAAAAACTTTAATACCCTGGGAGAAATGAAGCCTTAAAATTTTGACTGCAATTTTACAAAATTGAAAATATTTCAAAAACGGTCAGGTTTAAGTGTGATAAACCTTTATCAAACTTACCTTTATTTTAATCGTAGAAACTATAAATGTAATAATATACAGGGTGTTCCATTTAAAAAAATACAACTTTGATATTTTTTATTTATTTGGGACACTCTGTATCTTGTAAAAATATTTTTAAATTGTAGCTCTAATAGTCCTTCAACGATCCCAAAACTTAGAATTTGTAAAAATCTAATCGTTTAGCTACAATACTCCGTGTCGTATGTGGTGAACAACCCTGTATTTTACGTCTTGGATTGATTTTTAAACATATATTTTCGAAATATTCTTTAATATTCAGTAAAATTACCATCAAATTACATTAGTTTTAAAACATTTCAAAAAAATATAAAACTAATTTCATACATGGTCTATATTCGATTTAAAAAGAATATTCAAAAATATATAACATTCAAGAGTCATTTTTAAATAAATTTACATTTGTTAATAATTCTCTATATCCAGAAACAATGTTTCCCCCTGAGATTTTAAAATTTCATGTATAGTAAATAAAATATCAAATTTATAAAATGAATCAATGTTTAAATTTTCCTATATATTGGGTTAGAGTTTTTAAAAATGAAATATTAATAATAATAGTGTTATTTTTTTTACAAAAATTTTTATGAAGAATTCATTTTTCCCAAAATGTCAATGTATAATTAAAAAAAATCCTCTTGTAAAGACAATCCGTGGACATACTGTATGTATAATACATTGAGATCCATATACTCTCTTCAACTTAAAAAAACATTTTTATCGATGTATATTTATCATACCCGCATAAAAAAAACAAAATAAACCCTCCGAAAAAAATACCCCTAACAATAAACATACGGTTTAACAACAGCTTGCCATGAAAAAAAAAGGCCATGAGAGGTGCTTTTTTCTCCTTGATTTCAAAACCCACTCGTCGTATATAAAAACGCAAACAGCCCGCATAAACCATATCGAAAATAAAGATGCGAAACGACCTCCTAAACCTCCCCGACAACCCTTAAACAGACAAGGGTTCATCATACTTTGTAAGCGTTACGCTCCTTTAGTCGATCCTTCGTTAATAACAACCTGAAAAAAATGCTGCGGATGTGTGGTGGTTAAAAGTGTCGATACGCGTTTTACTGGGACACCTTGTAGAGTTATTAGAAGATATTTTCATTAAAAACTGGAATTGTACCGGGTGACAATAAAATCGTTATACAAACTATACATTTTAATCATACCGGATGGTGCATTGGCGTTGAAAAGAGGAAATCCCTTGCAAATTTTGAACTGTTTAAATATTGGCCCCCTATAGGCTTGGTGCATTCTACGCTGGTGTGCCAAAATAGTTATTATTATAGGACGATAAAATGGTATTTTATCGTCGTGTATAAAACAATATTTTTTTCCATAGCGAGTTACGTTTTAAAAAATATTCAGAAATTATTATTTCAAGGAATTTATTACGAGTAGAAAAAATATTGTACTGGGTTGGCGTTGGTTTCTATGTAATTTGACAAATAAATAAAGCTGTCACTTTAGTTGTCAGTTTTGAGTCAATATTTTTTAATTCTCTTTCGTGTCGATTGCTGATTGAATTGGAGCCAGAAATGGCTCAAAACGAAATAAGTAAATTACCAACAGATATTCAGGCGACAAACGCCATATCCAAACTACGTCCATTTAAATCCCGAATAACTTATGAAAAGGAATACAAACATTGTCAAAAATGGAAGCAATTAAAACACATGCGAGAAGAAATAAAGTTTTTAACCGACACTCGCTATTAGCCCACGGCCACACAGAAAGCGTTTTTAGCGTTTTGCGTTTTTTTGCGTCTCAAGCGCTTTTTGCGATTTTACCGTTTTAAGCGTTTTTTTCGATTTGTGTCCATTAAAAACACGCAAAAGACGCGGCAGGTTTGCAGTTTCTATCAATATGTCAATTAGTAACGTCGCAAGCTCGTGGATTCCCGGCCCGTCCAACAATCAATCCTGTGAGAAAGAGATAGGCGAGATCGGCGCCGTTACCGTTGAAAAGACGAAGATAAAAGATGCTGGGATTGAATTATGGACGGGCCGGGGCATATATTTGTAGACAAACACAATATACTGCTAGTGCCAGTGGTGTGTGTAAAAATAATAATTATTATTTGCCATTTACATTACGAATTTTAGTTTATATGTGTATAGTTTTTTTATATTGTAGTGTTGTGGTTAGTACTTGTTGTAATTATAATATAATATAATAAATAATTATAATTATATAATAGAATAGTAAATATTTCTAGTTGCTAATGCAATTTTAGGACATGATTTATGAAACATTTTGGAGTAAAACTTCTTTACGCGCTCTGGGAGTAAAAATTCAAAGCCGTGACATACGAGCTAGTGAGACGGCCTTGACACACGAGATCGTTGTAACAAAACGTGTTAACGGCTTAGAAATACGTAGTGACGCGACGTGTATTTGTGATCAGTACAGGTGTTTATCAAAAATATAATACAAATTTTGTAAAAGTGAATCAAATTATTACGTGTAAAAAAACATTTGTTACACGTAAAAAACTATTTTTATTATTTTACGCGAATAAAACTGTTACACGTAATAAACTTTTTTTACCCGTATAAAACTATTTGTTACTGGTAGAAAACTATTTTTTACGCGTATAAAACTATTTGTTACTGGTAGAAAACTATTTTTTACGCGTATAAAACTATTCGTTACTGGTAGAAAACTATTTTTTACGCGTATAAAACTATTTGTTATGTGTAAAAATCTATTTGTTACACGTAAAAAACTATTTTTTTACACGTCAAAAACTTATTGTTTCTGGTAGAAAAACGTCCTTAAGCAAAAAAAAAATTACGTGTAAAAACTATTTGTTACACATAAAAAACTACTTTTTACGCGTCAAAAACTTATTGTTTCTGGTGAAAAAACTTTTGTTAGGCAAAAAAAAATGACGTGTAAAGAACTATTTGTTACACGTAAAAACCTAATTTTTACCTGTCAAACTTTTTTACCTAAAAAAAAAATTTACGTGTAAAAAAACTATTTGTTACACGTAAAAAACTATTTTTTACGCGTCAAAAACTATTTGTTTCTGTTAAAAAAACTTTTTTACGCAGAAAACATTTTTACGCATAAAAAACTATTTTTTACGCGTAAGAAAATATTTAATTTATTACGTTTTCAAGATTTCAAGCTACACTTTTTCAAACATTTCCTTCAAATTTTTGAATTTAATAGAATCTTCCTAAACAGTAGATGTTCTTGATAAAAATATTTTTAGATAATACCCTAAAATAATAAAAAATGCATACTATTTAATTTATTTTTATTGTATTATTAAATATAACGTCCGCCTATGACGGGGTCTCATATTAGAAAACGCTAAAGACGCTACAGAAAACAAACTGATTTGTTTTCATTTCCGTTTTTTGCGAGACATCTCGAACGTTACATGCTTTTGGTGTGGCCACTCCTATATAATCCTGTTATTTTGTTTTAGTCGCTAAAGACGCTTCACGCTAAAAACGCAAAAAACGCTTTCTGTGTGGCCGTGGACTTAAAGTACCATTTAATCTACCCTTGCGGTTAAAGTACTATTTTTGATAGATATAAGGTAATTTTAGCAGTTGCTATGGAAAAAAACATTTAATTACTAGTTAAATAAAAAAAGTATACCATTAATATTGCAAATTATATTTTATCCCCTCATAGTATATATGTCTATTTAATTTTTTGATTGTGTAATGAGCAATTTGTTTACTCATTTTTGTATATGGATAGTTGACTGAAACCTTCATTAAAGAGATGTCACTATGATTAAATGATAGTAGGGAATAGCGACCTGTGTAAAGATTTTTTTGTCATCCGGTAGTAATCTTCCTGTAAAGTTCTTTAATATCAATATTAAAAGCCATTATTCATCAATATGTTTTAGTTATATATAAATCTATATCTTTAGCTACCGTACCTGATCAGTTCAAATATTTCCGGTTTTTCCCGTTCTCTCTGTTTCATGCGCTCTTTCATAGCTGTAATGATGCTGTTGGCCTTGTCTTCTGCTCCATGTTTCGAGCTCTTTTCAGCCGCTCCTGTAAGAAATAAAGTGCCAAATTTAATAAAGTGACAGTTAAAAAACGCGGTGAATTCGCAGTATTCTACTTGGACGAGCCGATTCTGTCCATACTGACAGTCGATGCTAATCTCTAATTAGGCCAGTAAGCCAGGATAAAAATAGGATATTAACAGATCTCTAACAATTCTTTAAGAGAAGTTACATATCAGAAGGTGTGCTTTTAATTTTTAAAGGGTGAAAACCACCGTGTCTTGGAAAAGACGTGAAAAGCGTAGATTTAAGTGTTATATCAATAAAAACGTGTACAAATGAATAGAAGGAGCATTCTTTTATTTTTAGAATAATAATTTTTTATTTATAGCAACATTTCAACCCTTAAAAACCACCCTCATTGCAGAAAAAATAAAGTAACAATGTTTTTCACATCTTCATAGCATTTATAATTACTTATCACTATTTATCAATATGATATGATATTCATTGCAACATTTCAACCCTTATAAACAACCAAAAAATGTTAATAATACAAATTAAAACAGAATATCCAAACCAATCTAAGTAGATGCTTTTCCACAATTACAATACCTTCCAGCAAAAATTTAATTCAAATTTAGTACTTTTTTGAATATTCAGACTACCCCTCCCAGACTCAGTCTCTAGATGCGCCACTGGCCCTATAACATAGGATACAACATTTTAATGAACAGTTCTTTCCATAAAATCAATGAAATGAAAAATTAAGAAATAATATACATGTACTGATTTCTTTCGAAAATCGACAACTATAAAACTATGACCCCTTCCCGAACACCAACGGTACATTGTGAGACAGGAAATTGTAGAGAGAAACAAGCCCTATAACATAGGATACAACATTTTGATGAACAGTGCTTTCCATAAAATCAATAAAATGAAAAATATACGAAATAATATACATGTACTGATTTGTTTCGAAAATCGACAACTATGAAACTATGAACCCTTCCCGGACACAAACGGTACATCGTGAGACAGGAAATTGTAGAGAGAAACAAGCCCTACAACATAGGATACAACATTTTGATGAACAGTGCTTTCCATAAAATCAATAAAATGAAAAATATACGAAATAATATACATGTAGGCTGATTTCTTTCGAAAATCGACAACTATGAAGCTATGAACCCTTCCCGGACACAAACGGTACATTGTGAAACAGGAAATTGCAGAGAGAAACAAGCCCTATAACATAGGATACAACATTTTAATGAACAGTGCTTTCCATAAAATCATTAAAATGAAAAATATACGAAATAATATACATGTACTGATTTCTTTCGAAAATCGACAACTATGAACCCTTTCCGGACACAAACGGTACATTGTGTAACAGGAAATTGTAGAGAGAAACAAGCCCTAATCTCTATTCACTGTTAAAATTTCACGTCAATCGGCGCAGGTGTTCAGAATTCGGATCCAAAACCCTCGCTTACTGGCCGAAATCACGTTGATCGCTGTTTAATTTCATGTTCATGGCATTCCCTGTTTATTTCGTAATTAACAACCGCGAAACGCTACTTTTACTTTTATCTCACTGTGAAGAAATCACAGGTAGTGATTTTCTGCTGATCTCTAATTTTAAGTATCTTATCGTATCGTATGTTTTCTTTCAATAATTAAGGAAACTTCGAAATGCACTACGGTTGAAATGGATTATAGTTGTAACACCACTTTGATCTTATTTATTGACATCAATTTAACTCATCGCATTCGCTGGAGGAATTAACCTCATCATTACTTATTTATTTATTCTGTGCTACATACTCCGCAGCACAATCAACGTCGATTCGAGAATAGAAACGAGCCGCTGGAGTCAGTTGCAGGCGCTAAGTTTGAATAATTCGCATATTTGAGGATGCGGGATCGATAATCGAAAGAATGGACGAGTGAAAAGGGCACAATAATGAAATTCCTAAAATGTTTTCGCTTCTTTTTCGGCTATTTTTAACCCGTCGACTTAGCCGCCGGCAGGCATCGTCCAACCGGTCTGGTCGGCCGCCTTTTAGATCGATAGCCAATTTTAATTATTTAGGCGCCTTTAATTAATCAGGTTAATCGATCGAATATTTCAGAAGAGGTTAAGAGAAGACCTTCTTGGTTTGTTTTTTCGAGAAAAACTTCAAAAAACGTCAGAATATTAATTTTTATGTAAAATAAACTCTAGAATAACATACTATGCTTTTGCTTTTATATCTTATTCATACTCTTGTTTCTTCTATTACATAATCCTTCTTTGTATGATATGCCTATTTTTATATAACGACTATTGATGGATAAAAAGACTCAAAAACATCTTAAGAATTTCATTATTGTGCTCCTTTCTTTATACCCCTTCTAATATCGACGTCTCTAGTCTGCTTCAAAAATTTAAATTATAGCAACTTTACGCTTGCAAGTCTCTCAAAGAGCTCGATTCTTTTCGAAAAACAGCGTTGTGCGGCCTCTTATTAAATATAATAATTCATCCTCAGAGAAATATATAACATAGTGATAAGACAAATAAAAAAATATAGATGAAACATTTCTAATAAACGGAATTGAGGATATATTACAATTTTTCTCCAAGATATTACATAAAAAAATATTTTTTTCTTATAAAAGCACTGTAATATATATTGGTCAGAACTAAAATGGATCAAGTCCAATTTCCTACTATTTTAAGAATCATCTTTATACGTATATATGTTGTGTGAGGAAGAAAAATTTTATCATTAACATATAGACGTAACATAACAAACTCAAAAAGGCAACACATGAAAAATCTTCTTCCCTTTATCCCGCCTATATACCACAATTTTTATAAAAATCGAAGAAAACACTATTAATAGACAATGTGAAGTCAACAAATCCCTTAATGACGAAGAAGAATGCACCGACGAACCAATTATATCTAAAATTTCAAATATTTTCAGAGATAAAATGGTTCAAGTCCAAAAAAGTATAAACAAACATTCTTAAAAATGACAACAGTTGTATTTTGAGTTACTTTAGTTTGTAATTATACAATTTAAAACATAACAAAGCATTGTGTCAAGTTTTCTTCTCCAGCTTGTTTAATTTTAATTAAGTAACTTTAAAAAACTTTAACTCCCAATTTCTCCATAGTTATCTTCTAGGACTTGATCCAATACACATTTTAAAAATACTTTCATAGATATATCAAATGTCTTTTATTTTTAAATTAAAGGATAGGTCAAATTAAAATAAAAATTATGTGTTTTAGCACCCCTAATTTTCGTCTATCTTCGCCCTATACGCCAACCCCCAAAACTGTCTAAAAAATCTCCCCCTCTACACTTACTTTGAAGACAATCTGCGTTCAATAGATCTTTACACTTCTCGTGGCACTTGACTCCGCACTCCGTGCACCTCACCCCCTGTCTGGCGATGCCCCAAAGGAGGCCCTCGCACTCGTAACAGTAAGTGGGCGAAGTGGCCGTCCAGGGGACGAAGTTGTGGGGCGTCGTGCAGCTGATGGGGTAGATCAGGGCCTGCAGAGTCTTCTTGTACACGTGCATTTTCTATTAAGAGATAAATTAAGGTTAGTTTTGTTATATTCACAGAATAGTTGTTGTATTTTCAATAAATTATCTGTGTATCATTATTTTTTTATAAAGGCGAACTCTCACGACTCGTCTACTTAGCAAGTACGCCAATATTTGCGTACTTGGCAAGTATCCCCACTTTGTAAACAACATTGGCAAGTGTGGCGCTCACACAACGTGTCCATTTCAACAAGTACGCCAGCACAAACATTGTTTAAATCCTTGGCAAGTAAACAGTATTGTCGCGTCCATGGATACCGGTCGTCCCGAAATTGTCGTTGCTAGTGATTCTTTTTTTTGTTATTAAGTTCTTTTACTGTACACTGCAATATGATTTCTATGTTCTTTAGGTTTGGCCATCCATATGAAGGGCTCATTTTCGTATAAATCCATAAATTCCAAAACAACATCATTGGAAGACTATACGGGAAAAACCAGCTTTGTCCGTTTTAATTGGAACCGAGAAAAATGCGATTTAGTGTTTTTAAAGAAATATGTTATTTCCGGTTGAATAATTAAAAAAATATATACCAATTCTGAATTATTAATATTGTTAATTATTATTATTATATAATCGCCATATTCTAAAATACCGAAATAAAAATGTCAAAATGCAAAACAAAACAGGGAAAAAACCAGGGATGTCCAATTAAAGGTTGTATAAAACCTAAAAATCTAAACTATTATTTTTTTGTTGTAGAAAGGAAATTAATATCTAGTCTTTCCCTTGTACGGCAAAATAACCAAGCTGTAATATCTCTGGGACTAAGCGTATCATTGCTTTCTTTTTTCTCGAATGACGCTAACATTTGCCTATAAAGTTGTATCGCTATCTTAATTTCTATGAAAATGTGACATATGTATCTGGTTTTTCCCGTGTAGTCTTCATTTGTCGACTCCATTTATTGCCGAAGGAACGATTTAGGTATGTGGCCAATATTGTATTTATTAATGTAAATTTGATATTATATAATTTATTATTGTTTTAACGTTTTAAATTATCCGCAATTAACTGGAAAAACACAACAATCCGGAAATAAACGGGACATACGCTACAGTACGATTATTTGCGCAGTCGTTTGTGTGCCTCGGCAAGTATAGCCAAGGCTACACTTGGCAAGTGTACGAATAATTGTGATCCTTTGACTCGGGCTATGTTTACCAGAGAGTGGGAACGCGACGAGTGACCAAGGAAACCGTTCTCACGACTTGGCGAGTATATTCCAATAACAAATGTTTGTCAAGTACACGAGTCGTAAGAATGCGTCTTAAGAGAATTATACTTACCAATTCTTCATCGTTCAATGTTGCTCTAGGTACTGCCGACGTTAAACCAGCGTTCCTTTTGGTAGCTGCCATAGTCTGTGAACACATAAACGTTACTTTAAGAACTCTATCTCATCCTAAAGTTCAAACTTGCTAAAAAGAACCCTAAAAATCTACTGCTGCTGCTCTGCCTCTATATAATGGTAAAATCGTTTAAAATTCGCTCTATCCAAACTGGAAATTTTCAATACGTAGCAAAAAAACAAGCTGCTCGATAAGCGGGTAAAATATGTTGTGCTTCGATAATAATTTATTTCTTTTCGAATACGTGTGTTTTGGATATATTGATGATTTTTATGTTACGTTGTTGAGTTTCTCTCCAATACCTGTGGCTATAACAATTTATTATTCCTTTCATTTCTTTTTTTTTAATTTTTTTTATTTTATAAAAATATCAAAATATCCAAAACAGCTCTATCCTCTAATAATTAAAAATACAAATGAGCTAATTACAGCTAAAATAAATGTGTTTCAGTAGTATGTAACTAATGTTATAACAAAAATATTTGTGTAAAGTATTAAAAATTATTATTAAACTATTTAACTACAACATTTGTATTTGTTATATGAAAATATTTGCTGGACTATTATAAATCATGAAGAATGTTATGAAATGTGAATATGGAATTGAAAAATGACATAATATATCAAAGAATTGGTTTAATTCTTTGACATTTGAAGTGGAAAAAGTTTTACTTTGTTTATAAAGATAATAGATTATAGATTTTTTCTAGAGATAAAACTTTTTCCGTTTTACTAGTTCATGCATACCTACGTGTGACTACGTGAGTTAGAGAAACAATCTATAGGGGAATTGGGTAACAAAACTATTAAACTAATACTAAATTAACACGGAATATAACGTTACCTTACTTTCGTTGGCATATATTTCAGTCCAAAAACAAAATATGTCACAAATTATTAAATATTAATTTTAACGGATATTATGAATAACAATATACTTATTAATTTGTTGATAAACTGAAGTATATATGTTCATTATATAGGTTGCAATAATCACAAAAGTGAAAAAAGTTTAAATACGGTGCTTTCAGCCACAATAAACTAAATGGAAGCTGTTAATATGTACAAAACGTGTAGAGTGGCTATGCACATGTCTCTAATTTTCACGTCAATTATGAATCTTTATTTTAAAATATTACAACAAAGAGAGGCCATGTTTAAATCAAAATATTCTTTTATTTCCTGTTGCAGAGCACTATAGGTCGCTAATAAACTAACAAAATTGTGGAAATTGTGACTATACGCTTTTTCACAAACTTTTTTGTAACATTGATTCGCAACATTATTTACTTTACATCTATGAAATCAAAATTGTACAGCTTGAAAAAGTTTGACTTTTATTTGTATGTTGAAACCTTTCACTTTTTAGCCCAAAATTGTGTCTAATTTTTATTGTAGTTAATGTACTTCTAGAAAATAGTAATATAGTTTTATAATTTAAAGTTTTAATTATCATTTTAAGACATGGCTTTTATACTTAGTCTTTATTTACTATCTCAAATAATACAATAATGAAAATAAAAACATAAATATACAATAAGATTTTATAAAAAATTGTTAATAAACATTTTTCCAAAAATTTCCATTAGTTGATAATAAGTAATAAGTAAAATATAATATAAAAAAAAATATTCATATTCAGTACATATAAAATTGGTCAAAATCGTTGAAATGATTGCGCCATACTTTCCTAACAAACAATTTCGATATTAAAAAGTTGTAAAATTAGGGCCTAGTTTGTTCATTTTTATCTTCATAATTTTTATGTACCTAATACGCACGTATTTGTATGTATTTAAAAATATGTATCTAAATCGGATGTATTTTGCAAGCGCACACATAGTAAGCGCAGAAATCTACTATTTTAGCTTTATCATGTTTTTCCTGAAATTTTTGACAGTGACAGTTACAGACCACTTAAGTTGTTGAAAAATGTTCCCTGTTTGACAACAATATTATATTTACAAAATTTACTCAGTAACCTTACTCAGTATACTGTACTACATAAGTAGAGTACTACATAATATACCTACTTTTATGTTGTACATTGAACGTAAAATGAAAGTTTCATATCAATATCATCTGCCATGGTAATTGACAGAAAATTAGTAATAAACATACCAAAACTCAAAAGACAATAATATTTCTAGCGCATATTATATACAGTTTTTTTATTTATACAAATATTCTCAAGTTTTTTATTCTAGGAGCTACAGATGCCCGACGCACTATTGCCGGACCCTGTATAAAATTCCTATTCTTGCAGTTTTTAAAACAGTATTTAAAAAAAATATTTTTATTCTAATTTGTGCTTTGTTTTAATTTTATTAGGAAAAAAAATAAGTACAATGTAGAAAACAAAAACCGTATTCTATTACAATGCTGTATATCAAACACAAAACGCTACTCTTGCATTTTTCAGCCTGTTGAAAGCCTGTCTAGCGGATGCGTTAAATTGTTTGACGTGAAAGAAAGAGACACTTTAAAAAACGGAAAAGAAAAAAAAACGAGCGAAAAAGAATAAAGCAAACAGGAGATAAAGAGAAAACAGAGGAAGAGAAAAATGTATAGCGAGAAAAAAAAATAAAACGTTCTAATACCTTGAGCACCTGGAGATTTTTGGAAGCGTCGAGGGCACAACCATCAAAATAGAAAGAACAAACAAACACAGACACGTTAGTAAGTGGTCGTTGGCGAGGAAGGCAGTGGCGCACGTAACGATATTGCGGCTAAATTGAAGCGCTGAATGATCGTTAGGTGCGCCAATGAAAGGAAAATATACAATTGGGTCTTTTTACGGAAAATAACATTGGGCACGTTTTTAATTCAACTTAATACTTTAAGTTCAGATTATTGTTTAAATTTCCGTAATTATTCTAATTATAGATATAATTCTCTAAAGTTTGATAGAGAAGCTAGTACTGATCACAAAAAAAAATTGTATTTATAAATTTATAGCTACTTATTTTTTGTTATAACTCCCTACTTAGCTTTCTTATTTTAGTAAAAAAGAAGTATTTCTTAGCCATTTTTTAATATATCAATATATCAAAGATAAAGAATTAAATAGACCATGAAAAAAAAAAGGAAAAAAAAGTTTTATATGTTGTGCTCTTTTGGCCCGATTTTGATGATTTTTTAAGTAAAGAACAAAAGATATTAAACTTTGAAATACATCAAAATTTTAGGTGCCCGTTTGGTGAATGTATTTTATATTTTGCTATTTATACTTATGGTAGATAATCATTTGTAACAAAACTCCACTATAGCACAAAACTGCTGTCTAAAATAAATAGGAAAATAACTGGAAATACTAATATGATACCTTTTTGTATCATATTTTTAACAAATTTTACTTGAAATTTATTTTGTGCTCTACAATCAATCATGAAATTCTAAAAATAAAGTTTGTAGCATCACGCACATTAGGTATACAAAATATATTACTACGTATTTTAAGTTTTCTCAAAAAAGTGCCCCTGTTTAATATCCGTTATTCCTTAAATGACCCACTTTAAAATCAGTCTTTACATTTAAAACCAGACTGCATTCAAATTCAACAAACAAGAACCATATTTTCCATTAAATTATACTGAGAGGTCTCCGAAATTAACATTTTGCATATTTAAGCAGGTCTGGAAAAGTAAACATGAGTTTTATTTATATTTTGAACTTATGTTCGACGGGTTGAACTTAGAGGAAAATAAAAATACAAGTTCAAATAGGGTAGAATTATATTACGCAAGTCAGTAGAGGTAGAATTAAATTTCCTTGCGATTGAACTGTAAAAGAGAAGCAATAAAATATCGAAGACGCGATTTCAATAGCTTTCTAGGGAATGAAATTTAGAATGCTTTAAAATGGTTTTAGAGAAATTCATCGATCTCCCATGTTAAATTGTCAGTATTCTAAACATCTGCATTTCTCGATAATAATAAATGTCTTGGTCTTGTTGAATTTATATGGAATCTGGACAGTTACTATAACGAACAAATATACAAATCAAATATTGACAAATCAAAAAGGTTGAAATTTTATGAACTTCGATTGTTAAAAAATAAAATGAAGTTTTTCATGCCATGTTAGTTCGCAGAAACGCAATACTATATTTTGTTAATTACAATATTTTATTAATAAAAAATATATATTGATAAACTTGTAATGTTTTTACTTTATCATTATCTAAGTTATCGAATTTAATTATAACATCAATGAGCAAGATCAAAAAAATTCTCTTAAAGTATGAGCTCTTAATTTTACTAGGAAAGTTTTCTGCCTTCCAGTTTTCTATTTTTTCTTTATTTTTAGAAAGAAAAATTCATATCTTGGTATCTACTATTTAGAAAAAATATCTCATATGTTCGCAGGAAATTGAATCCTTTACAAAAAAGGTCTCTTACAATTTTTTTGTATTTTTTGTTGTTGTGATTTTTTGTTAATAACTTATAAAATTCATAAGAAAAAAGAAATCTGCCTTAAAGTAATCAAATTTCAACCTTTAATAACTTTCGAACGGTGAGGTTTACAAAAGAATTGTAAGATACCTTTTTTGTAGAGAATTCAATTTCCTACAAACGTGTAAGACGAGATATTTTTTTTAATAAATATTTAATTTAGGCAACGAACTAGAAAAACTATGAAATATTTAATTGAACTCTGCTTTTTGAATGAAAGAAATGATATTTATGTCCAGCTTGATATTGAATTTATATTTCCAATAAATCAAATCTCGACCTCTAACGAACGCTTTACAATCAGAAATAGACCCTTTATTTCCTAAATTTAATTGAAACCACTCGGTAAATTAGTATTTCGGGTTTTGTTGTACAACGAACAATAATTTATTTCGAATAATTTCTATAAATTGAACTAATTTGGTTCCTGCGAACAACATAGGCATTAGAGTGTCTGTTATTTACAAAATTGATATTTTTTCTCACAGCGCCCTTTAATTTTTTAATTTATTGTCTAAAAAAAATAACAGACCATTGTAAAGCCTTAATATTTACAATAAACCTTGCCCCAAAGACGATTCATTTTCCATTAAAATTACATGGGAATTTGTCACTTTTTGCAAATAATTTTTTTCTTTCGATCTTGTTCTCTCGCAGCCATGACAATCACATCTTCAGAATTGAACGCTCTACAAAAAAGGTATCTTACAATTTTTCGATAAATCTATTTCTTCAAAAGTTATTCACGGTTAAAATTAACCACTCCGTAAATTCCTAAATTTTTCAATTTTTATGAAAAATTATGATTATTTTTGCAAAATTTAATCTATTATTTGAAAAAAAGCAATTTTCATGATATCATGATAAACAATTTTAAATCATGGAAAACAATTGAATGCATGACAGCTAGTTAATTCTAATACATATTATAGAGTCAGGCAGAAAATAGTTGAAGCTTTAAAAGTGAATAATGACGAAGAGTTCGATATTTCTAAACGCTTCATCTTTGATCAGGATGATTTTAAATGGTTTATAAAACATTGATTATTTTATAAATTCAAATTTGTTACAATATTTTACACGGTTTAATATTGATACAAGCTTTCTGCAGTAAGACGTACATTACGGAATGGTTAAAGGATCCTGGATAGGGTATGAGAGGCTTAGAAATTGTGAAAAATTTGAGAGTAGGTAATGATATTGCAGAAAGAGCTGTTAAATTGTCAGAAGAATACATTAGTATTTTATCTAGAATTGAAGATAAAAACCAATATGTGATTCAGATTGTAAGTGAGTATAAGAAGAAATATCAAAATCCAACTAAAAAATGTTTATTAAAATAAATCAGCTATACTGAAATGATTTAAACTTCATTAGACTTGAATATTTCTTAATTCCCAACCTTAACACCATCGGAATCGTATATTTTTATAGTAATAGATTAAATTTTTCATAGAATTTAGAAATTTACCGAGTAGTTAACTTTAACCGTGAATAACTATTGAAGGAGTAGGTTTATCGATAAATTGTAAGAGACCTTTTTTGTAGAGCGTTCAATTTTGTATAAGAATGTGTGATTGTTGTGGCTGCAAGAGAACAAGATCGAGAGAAAAAAATTATTTGCTAAAAGTGGCAAATTCCCATTAAATTTAAATGAAAAATGAATCGTCTTTGGGGCAGAGGTTTATTGTGAATATTAAGGGTTTACAATGGTCTGTTTTTTTTTAGACGATAAACTAAAAATTTAGAGGGCGTCGTGAGAGAAATGAAACTTTGTAAATAACGCACACCCTAATATGCATGTTCAATGTTATCTATTTGATCTTTATTCGTAAATATTCATAGGGTATCTAAACCGCTGTATCTTTATTGTAAAATACGTTCTTTTGCTTTATTTTTATCTTATTTTAGCAAAAGATTCGGAAAGAAACACGTAACAATAAGGAATACAATGGATATTTTATTCAGAACGATTTGGAATTTTATGACTGCTAAGAAAAATATTTCAAGATACAAAAAATCAAGGTTTTGCGAGTACATGTTTTGTTTCTAGTACTCAAAATACAAATAAGGTAATTTTCTATACTAAAAATTATATATCACTATATAACTTTTTAAATTGAGTTATGCCGTAGAACAATCGCAAAACCAATCAAAATTTTTCCAGTTCTATATAACTAGAAAATATAAATTATAAATTTAGTTTGATTAATTTTCAGCTTCTGTTTTTCATTTTGTTTGGTCTATTCTGATTAAAAGTATCCAATGTTTTGCCAAACAATCAACAAAGGAAAGGGATAGAGATAATAGGTCCTATACAATGAAAGGTTATTTCTTTTCACAATGGTACGATCAAACAATAGTGATGATAATATATTACACAGAATGTTAACAAAATGCGTCTCATATTTTTTAAGATTGTGATAAATAAAATATATGGTCACAGAAAATAATTTTTAGAATGAACACTGTGATACAAATATACAGGGTGGTCCGAACTGTATTCCGGAAACTTCGGTAGCATATTCTGCAGATAAAAATAAGTAAAAAAGTTCGTATAAATGTGTGTCCTAAAATACTTAGTTTCGGAGATACAGAGTGTAGAAGTTTCATTTTTATTTCGATTTTTTCTAAATAATTTCTGAAGTAACGTCAATATTTGGACGAAAATTGGTGTCTGCAAGTTTTGTGACACGAGAAATTTGATTTTGATATCAAAATGACTACTATTTGTAGGGGGCGCCACCTACATGCGTTTTGACTGTTTCGAAGAGTAATAACTTTTCGTCCGTACGTGTATAAAACTATTGACTAAAAAAATATACATTTTCATGACTTTTTACGTAGAAAATGTCTCTTGGTAAAAATCGCTACGAGCAACCATTCTCAAGATATTTAGAATGGGAATAGTCAATACATGTCATTATTGACAAAAAATAAGCACGTCGATAGTTATTTGACTGAAATAATACATTTTTATTTTTTTAAATTAATCATAAATTTTTCTGAGAAAAAATTATTACTGAACAGTTTCTGTTGAACTTTTGGAACAAAAAGATTTCAAATTTATGATTTCAGTCTAATAACTATTTAGTCAACATGTTTAATTTATGTCAATGATGACAGGTATTGATAATTTCAATTCCAAATATCTCGAGAACTATTACTCGTAGCTATTTTTACCAAGAGACTTTTTTTACGTAGAAAAAGTTGTAAATGTATATTTTTTTATTCAGTAGTTTTATACAGGTATGGACGAAAAGTTATTACTCTTCAAACCAGTTAAAACATATGTAGGTGGCGCCCTCTACAAGTAGGAGTCATATTGACATGAAAATCAAATTTCTCATGTCAAAAAACTACCAAACACCAATTTTCATCCAAATATTGGCGTTACTTCAGAAATTATTTGGAAAAAAATCGAAATAAAAATGAAACTTTTCCACCCTGTATCTCCGAAACTAAGAATTTTAGGACATACATTTATACGAACTTTTTTACTTATTTTTATCCGCGGAATATGCTGCCGAAGTTTCCGGAATACAGTTCGGACCACCCTGTATATTATTCTGAACTAATAATTATTTATTTTGCTGGTTATCTTATTGTTGCTGTGAAATATCATTTAAGAAGAATAAAATATCATTATTATTTAAATTGAAGACAGCAATATTTACGAGTTAGAACAACTAAAATAGTATTTTAAACTAAGTAAATGTTAATCTCTTTGTAGGCTATGAGGAGGGTAGATGTTATCAAATTGGTACCAAAGACTGAAAATGTATTGTGATAAAACAAGCAGCTGTAGGTAATTTGAAACATTTTTGCAGTAGGTACCCTATTAAGAAACTAACTTCAAATTGAATATTAGGAATATTACCGTTTAAAACAGACGTTATAAGGAAACTGCAGGTCGCACAACGCTCAATAGAACGAAATATGCTAGGAATAACCAAGAAAGACCGTAAAAGAATAGAGTGGACACGAAAAAAGATCCGGGTAATAGATGTCATCCACAGAATCAAATCCCTCAAGTGGCAATGGGCAGGACCCCTGGCAAGAAGGACGACAACAGAGGGACCACAAAAATTACAGCATGGTACCCACGAGGAATTAAGAGACCTAGAAGAAGACCAAACCTGAAATGGGACCATGATATTATTAGGTAATTAGCAGGGATAACTTGGGCCCGCATAGTTAACAAAAGACAACAATGGGTCCAACTACAAAGAGAGTATTTAGAGTATTCGAGGGCAGATTAACCTTGTTTAGTTCATCATCTTCTGCAACCATATATTCTAGTTTTATATTTATTCTCTTAATATTCTGTGTCTAAGGTATGTCCCAATAAAATTTAATATTTGATTTACTGAAATACACATAAATTTGGTACAAGACGACCTGGAAATCCGTATTAAATGTCCAATGCCGAATCAAGGTTTCCCGAATAATTTACCTAAAAATATTCTTTTCGAAAATTAGAGTTACTGACAAACTTCCAGCTTCCATTATGTATCCCAGACAATGGATTATCGCCTCTTTACATTTATCTCTGCAGTAGCAAAGTTTTCTATTTGTTACTCGTGCCAGACTGGCAACAGATATATAATTGAGCTTCCTATCTTCGAACAACTTCCAGATTCAAGCGGCTTTTAGAACTCCGAAGCTCTGTCTCTGTCTCTCTTTGACTTCTGGAAAGTTTTCGTTCGAAGTTCCAATTATACCAAAAGACAAATTGGACTAATTTTTAAGAGGCTTGATTTCCGCGTAAGACATTTAATACGGAGCGGAATTATGGATGATGATGGAGAAATAATAACAAACATTATGGGAACATGATGCAGATTGATCTCGGTCTATGGTTTTTAGGTTAGGTGAATTCAAAAAATAAATATTGGTGAGCAATAGATAAAAATATAATTATTCACGAACTATTTTTTTAACTATTATTATATTATATTGCAGATTTTTTTTTCCATTAAGATCCATTAAGAATATAAATTTTTGTAAAATAATTTTACATCTGACTAATACCGTGTGTTTTTCAAAAGTGGCTCACCCCCTATAAATTTTATATTTTGTCATATAAAAATCGAGATTTGGTATATTAGTATATGACTTAAATTAGGAATAATTGACGTATTCAATTGTTTTTAGTCACTTCCTGTGTTTTTATCCGGAAATGACTGCAACTTTTGATTTTTTAAATGATACCCTCGGAATTTTTTTACTTTATTCGATAGAAAATGACACTCTGAATAGAAGTTGATATAACATATGTGAACTTTTGACATTTTCGCTTAAAAAAATGTGTTTTAAATTTCAATCTAGAGTGCCATGGTTGTGTTAAAAACACAAATTTTTAATCAAGGAATCTTGGAAAAAAGATCGTCTAATGTTGTGTCCTGTCTTGTAGTGACCGGTTAAAAGATGGCCAAATCGGATTTTAAATCATATTTAAATTTCTTCAAATAGTAAAAGCATTTTTTTTAATAATTTGGTACCACACAGTAAATCAAATAAACCATATGCGAAAATGTCAGAAGTTGACATGTCATTCCATTCAGAGTGTCATTTTCTATCGAACAAAGTAAAAATATACTGAAGGTTCCATTTAAAAATCAAAAGTTTTCGTCGTTTCCGGTGAAACAGGAAGTGACTAAAAACAATTAAACACATCAATGAGTCCTGATTTGTCATATATCAACATAAAAAATCTCGTTTTTTGTCTGAAAAAATTAAAAATTTTAGGGGTGATTCACTTTAAAAAAACACCCTGTATACATTATTTTATCAAAAACTGTCCTGAAATATTGACTAGAATATATCTAAATCTTTAAAAACATACATTTTGCATATATCTGTATTTTCTTAAGTAGTAATAAATAATATTTAAAATTTTGTATTCTTTAGGCTAAGTATAAAAATATAAAAATGCAAATATATACTTCTAGAAATAGTTTTTATAAAACTAATTGTTAAAAATTTTAAAATTATAGGTATTTTTTCTCGGATATAAGGTTATAAACCAATCATGTAAGCTACTTTTAATTTTTTTACAGACATATATAAAAATTTCAGGGCAGTTTTTGAACAAACCGTACGTTTTTTTTCTCATAATCTTATAAACTGATAAATTACTCAGTATTTTAAAATTTCCTAGAAAAAAATAAGTAAATAACTAAAAAAGAAGAATACTCACTAAGTCGGAAACCAAGAGGTTTGGTTTCCCTCTTCTAATTGGTCTGATATCGGGTTTGATATCGATGTTGCTGTAAAACGTATTGTCTCCTGGTCCGCTACATAAAAACAAATAAAAATACATTTTAGTTATTAAACAGTGGTTTATCTAAATTATATTTAATTTAAAAAATTCAAGTGATAACCCATATGCACGTCCCTGGTGAATCTGTCGACACTTATTTAGCATTAAAATATCTATCACTTATAGTAACTTTTATTCTCAAAATGTCATTCGAATCGCCAAAAACACTTGAAAGAATATTATAATAAATAAAAATAGGTTATTTTTTACACATGACGATAAAATGGTATTTTATCGTCGACCGAAAAGATTAATGAAATCGCGAGTGAATTAATTTCGGGAGACGATAATGCAATTTTATCGTCGTGTATAAAACAATATTTTTTTTCCATAGCAAGTTACGCTTTAAAGCTAGCTAGGAAAGGAGCAAACACTCCACTAACTGGACCAGAACCGTTCTGCTTTCCAAGTGGTAACCAACTCAAGGCGGAACTCAACAACTTGGAAGATTCCATCCGCAACCTGGAATGGAAATCTTGCAATGGTCTAAGACACTCGAAGAAGTTTCTGAGGGCTTATGATCAAGAAAAATCACAGATCTTCCTGGGTCTGAGTAAGAACAATCTTCGGATTGTCACGGGGTTTTTAACAGGACACTGTCTCCTCAATGAACACCTCAGTAGATTGAAACTAAGAAGAAACGGCGAATGCAGATTCTGTGGGGAAGATGGTGAAACACCAGTACACCTCATCACTGAGTGCGCCGAGACGACAACCATTCGTGCCATGAATTTTGGTACGACTGATATTGGAGATGGAGAACTACTCTCTATAAAACCGTCCCAGATACTGGCTTTTGTCAAAGCCCTGGGACTGTATGATGAGTTATGATTCAAGAAAGGGGGACACAATGGATGTGTAAAGTCGAAGTGATTAACCCCCCTCCCACTCATTCTAAAATTCTAAAAAAATTCTACGTTTTAAAAAATATTCAGAAATTATTATTTCAAGGAATTTATTACGAGTAGAAAAAATATTGTGCTGGGTTGGCGTTAGTTTCTATGTAATTTGACAAATAAATAAAGCTGTCTCTATAGTTGTCAGTTTTGAGTCAATATTTTTTAATTCTCTTTCGTGTCGATTGCTGATTGAATTGGAGCCAGAAATGGCTCAAAACGAAATAAATAAATTACCAACAAATATTCAGGCCGAGGCAACAAACGCCATATCCAAACTACTTCCATTTAAATCCCGAATAATTTATAAAAAGGAATACAAAAATTTTCAAAAATGAAAGCGATTGAAAAAGGTACGAGAAGAAATGAAGTTTTTAACCTATCCTCGCTGTTAAAGTATCATTTAATCTACCCCTGCGGTTAAAGTACTATTTTATCTACTATTTTTGATAGATATAAGGCAATTTTAACAGTTGCTATGGAAAAAAGAGACTTTAACTTGATATCAAAAACTAATTTTATTTTTACGTAAAGAATCTCTCCACCAGAGATGGCACATGCTTTTTGAAACACAAGGAATTAAACAAATAATCACGTGTCTCTCATCTTTTGTGTAATTAGGTAATTAATTTAGTAAAAAACTCGTTTAGGGTTATACTGTCCTCATCAAGCATTCCCTTTGCGTCCCTAGTCAAACCTGAACCAATAATTACACAACTCAAATTAGGGCAAAGGGCCGTCTGAAATACACGGCACGACAATCTAATGAAAACAAACTGGGTACCCCCTCCCCCCTCTTTGCGCTGCCCTTGCAGTTTGACCTATAGCATCTCGTACACGAGCGACCCTTTAAATCAAATAAAATCGGATTGTAAAGCAACCCCGAAATTGTCCCAACTTTATTTTTAACAGTCTGTTTGAAAAAACCTTTCGTTTTTGTAAAATGTAAAAGAATAAATGTGTATTATGTTATTTAAAATTTTTAATTAGCCAGTTTTTTAATATACAGGGTGGCCAATTAGTACGAGGAAGTTCAAGATCGTCGTTGTTAGCAAAGAATTTTTGAATTTCAACCCCTATTTTTCTGTACAGAATTGAGTTCAGCATAAAATTCTGCTATACAAGCAGAGGTTTAAGCTATAAAGAAAGCCCCTAGATGTACAGGGTGCCCCATTTGGTTGAAATCATACGATATCTTCCGTTATTAGTAAAGATAGGAGGATGCGGTTAGAATAAACCTGTCCCACTTATTTTTCGAACGAAAGATGCTGTAAACAAAATTTTCATAGCTCTCTTCGTTTCCGAAGTACAGGGTCTTTTCGAAAATTTTGCAATTTGGGACAGTCCTCGTATCTCCGTTATTGTGAAAGGTATCGAGAAGGTGAAAACTGATTCTTATAGAACTTCTTATGTAGAATACAGTGGCATAGTCTATTTTCCAAACCTAACCAACAGAAAAATATTTTTTAAAATATGAACTAAAGTTAAGTTTTTTTTAAATGGAACACCCTGTATATTTATAAATCATATAATCTGTCTTGCCCCCTACGAACTTTCCAAAAAAAATATATATTACTCTATATTTATTTTCACTATTTACTGCAACATTATTTAAAATTTACCATTTTCTTATTAGTAGGCCGCGATAGATAAAAAATTCCGCGACAAGAAAAATCAAAATTGTATTTACTGAAATAATCATACACATATTAAAATTTTACTTGGAACTGAAATATTTTACTTTTAAACAGTTACCACTAAATCTCTGAATATATTTATTTATTATTTATAACGGGATGGGCTAAATATCTAAAAGTTTGCCTGCATGATAGTATTTCCAGACATTGTTGCAGTAGCCACCATATATTTCATATTTTAAAAATTCCCAAATACAGAAAATTTAATATTTATTTTTGTTTCTGTATCAAGTATTCTTAACACATAACTCAGAATTTAAAAAAATCATATAAGTGTTGCAATTTGACAATTGAACACCACAGTTATTAGATTTCACACTTTTAAGTTTCATTTTACGTGTCATATTTTTATGAAAAAGCTGCTCTTTGAATTAAAAGTGAGACTTATGCTTCATTCAGAACCTCGGAATTAGTGGAATAATTTAGTGGTTTCAATTACACTTTATACTTTTTAGTTTACGATCATTCATTCACAATGTCTAAAAACCACAATTACAATTAATAGAATATCCTAGCAACAGCTTGCGGTAGTCAGTTGTATCCATAGAGAAAGCCTAATATTTAGCTTATAAAACAATCAACTTTTGACTTCTAACTTCAATTTCTCTTAACGGAAGATAATCAAAGACCAAAATGACATTTCTCGCAAATTCTGAAGTATAATTAGTGGAAAAATTAAAAGTTTGATAACTTTTTCTACTAATTGAAAATATCTACCAATAATTTTGACGTTCTAAATGCTTACATTGAAATTCTTCTTCTTGAAACCACTAATTTATTCCACTAATTGCGTGGTTCTGAATGAAGCTTTATACCGTATGATCGAGAAAAAACGGCGTCAAAGGCGGCTGGGGAATGACTATCGATGCTATTTTTGACGAGATAGAACTCTAGACGTCAGATACTGAGAACTGACATAAAATTTGTCAAAAATTAATACCTTATATAGAAAAACCAGAAAAGAATAGAAAGTTTCCAGATACACATATCTATTTCCAAAAAATTGTTTTTTCAAATGTTTCGATCTGCACCAGTTCTACTCAATAAAAAATCGATATTAAATCATCCTTAATGCAGTAAACGCCTTTAAAAATAAAGAAGAGCAAGACCAGTAAGACTCTAACCTAACTAAATCTCGTCGTCCGACAAGCCTCCGACCGAGACATTTTGACATTTTTGATTATTGTATTGTTAAAATGTACGGATTAGCCTTTTATTATTGTTTCATACAGACTAGACCGTTCAGATTTACTAATATTGCATTGATTATAGCTGTAAATAAAAATGTGTGTTTAATACCAGTAAATAATCCGTTAGTTGATGGAAGAAGTATCGTGATTATCGACAAAATTAATTGTAGGCTTTTAAATTTTGCCTAATATGGTCATATTTTGCAATATTCAACTCATAATTGTTGATACTTCTGGTGGATGATGTTCAATTTATACATATATAAAATATAAACAAACCAAATTGAAGTACTAGAAGCAATAAGGTGAGATAGTTATTTTTACGAATCCCTTTATTATTACTTCTTTACTTATAGAGTATCTGTTTCTGTGTATGCCTAAGTTTCTGTTTTCCAAGAAGCATATTAATTAAATGAACAAAACTGTGTCCAAGAAATAATCTATTGCATAGAGAATTTAATGAAAACAAAATTGGTGATGCTGTGTTCAAGTAAAGTTCCATGCAGGAATCAATGGTTATTGCTAAAATATTTTATTGGTGTATTGTCAATTTTATTTACTTATATATTACGTTATTTAATCTCAATAATTTTAGGCTCCTAAGTCATTTATTTACATACTTAACTTTTAACGTAACTACTGGTAGATTGTAGGAAATAATATACACATTGGAACAATTTAAGTAAATAAATGAATTAATATAATACATACATCAAGAAGTAATGTATAATTTTACAAAAAGCTGTATTAATCACTTTCGAAAATCATAATTGTTTTTTTTAGTAAGTCGCAGACAAATATTTTAGGTTTGTTATTAAATTAAATGATAATGTAATAAGTACAGATTTAGACTCTTGAACCAGGCATAGTATATTAATTAGTAGGGTTCACAGTAAAACATATTTTGTAATACCATTCGAAAGAAAATAAATACCTATATTATCCTGTTTATAAAGTGAGTTTCATTGTAACATAACTTAAGAAAACAATTAATATGCATATGTCAATCATAAGAATAGAATCTATTAATTTAATGAACTATACCCATAGTACTCGATAAACAGTAAACCAAACCAAAGAAACTAAGACTTACAGTGTTAGATCATGTAGTATATAAATATTTTAATTTTATCATTTAATAAATAAATACAATATAAAATTTAAAATGCCAATTTTTTATTTTAAAACAAGTGATTTATATATGTATAAACAATTTGCAATTATTTATCATTTAATTTATTGGCCACAGCTGCCGGGATTATAAGGCTAATATTTTGCTACCTATAGTGCCTATATCTCAAAAAAAATAATTCAGATTAATTAATGATTAAGTATCCCTGTATTTTTAAATGTTGAATCTTATGGACTGAAAAAACTGCTTTCAATATTTCTACTTTCACTGACCGAAGATGCAGAAACCTAGAAGAAATTCAAAAACAAATTGTACAAACATTTTAAGGTTTTCCTTAAATCCTCTATACAATAGACTATTTCTTGGACATAGTTTTGTTCATTTAATTTGTTTCTTAGAGGTTATACACAGCTGTAGATATTCTATAAGTAAAAAGTAATAATACAGATTCGAAAAATATCCCACCTTACCGTTTCTAGTACTTCAATTTAGTGTGTTTATATTTTATACATGTATAAAATTGAACATCATCCACCAGAAGTATCAACAATTATGAGTTGAATATTACAAAATATGACCATATTAAGCAAAATTTAAAGGCCTACAATTAACCTTGTTGATAAACACAATACTTCTTCCATGTATAGTAATGAACACACATAACTGGTTTACAGCTACAGTTTTACTAAATCTGAAGGGTCTAGTGTGTATTAGACAATTACAAAAGGATAATCCATACATTTTAACAGTAGAATAATCTGATTTTTGTTAACGAGTTATCGAAATGCCTGGAACTGGGACGGGCGATTGTTAGGTTAGAGCCTTTTTGATTTTTCTCTTCTTTACTTTTAAAGACGCATTTAGTATTAATTACGATTTACTGGATTTACCTAATATAGATTTTTTATTAATTAAAACTGGTATAGTTCAAATTATCAGAAAAAAATATTTTTTGGATATAGATTTCTGTATCCGGAAACTTACTATTGTCTTTTAGATTTTCTACATTTAGTATTCATTTTAATTAAAATTTAATTTTTTTGAAGATCTTTAAAGTGAAAAGAAGAAGAATTTTAATTAACTAAAAAAATCAAAATAAAGTTAATTAACTTTGAGCAGAGTTCGACTTTGTCAAAAATAGCATCGATAGTCATTCCCCAGCCGCCTTTGACGCCGTTTTTTCTCGATCATACGGTAGTTTATTTTTACACAAGTATTTAACAAGTGAAATGTTAAATAGCCAAACTGATAGTTTAAAGCCAAAGTGAATTAATTTGAAAGTTAATCAACTGATTTAAAAAAGAGTTTATTTACTATCGATTTCTCTCTTTTAAAACAACTGACAATAATCCCTTTAAATATTAGTCTTTCTCATTTAGTAAAATTCTCTTTGTTTTTAAATTGACCCAGTTCTTTCTGTTTCCTGACCTCTCCAGAACAGAATTTCATTAAGGCAGCCCGCAGGGATCTTTCATTATTCGACGGAGTAAAAAACTTGTCTGATTTACTTCAGTGTCGCGGATATTTGACGCTTTTTGACGTAATATGGTAATAAATGAAATTGCGCCGAATTGAAATCGGAAAATAGAGAGAGATGGGGAGAGACAGAGAGTATTAAGTTGGTAAATTTTACTCAGAGCGGCTGTGGTAGTAGATTTTTAGCCAAACTTATTTTAAACTTATTTGAAAAACGGTAAAGAGAAAATATGTTTCTTTTATTGAGATCTACCAGCCCTAAAAATATTTTTGCAATTATTTAAGACCTGTTTTTCACCCTGTATAAACGACTAATGAAAATAAAAATTATTTTCTTATAATGGTAAACTTACCCATTACCCCTTCCTGCTGCATCACCCCCAATCGATCCATTCTAAAAACAAAAAAAAAGTAAACAAAACAAATTACAAAAACTGGCCCACCCCGAGGTTGCGGTGGTGGGCCAAAATAACAATTTTATTTCGTCAACAACAAAATGTACAAATTACACGGCACATCAAATCATTAAAAAAATATAAACACTATCTTTGTCATTAGCACAATTTTTTTTATCCGATACAAAGCCTTAGATCCATCTCCTACGAGATGTATTTTAGCGTTAAAGCGTTACATTACGTTACTACTAAAACATCAAAGTCTAAATTGTTTCGTATTCCTCGGGGAATGCTTTGAACTACGACACGAAGTGCGCAGAGGAGGTACGTCTGAGAGAAAACAATAATATCATTGGTTCTCTTAGACAGATTAAAAGTGAAATCTATTACTTTAAGATATAACAGAAAGCAACCAGAGAAGCATTTCTTTTGTTGCATTGTTAAGAGTAAAAAAATAATTGACTTTTATAGTGCTCCATATAGAGAAGATCAAGCAATCAAAGAAAATCTCAGCTGCAAAAAAAAACACAACGGAATTTTTTTCGTCAAATATGAAGTGTTATAGTTTTTCTATTCTTAGCCCATTTTTCATGATTTTTTTGGCAAACAGATGTTGATATATTTATATACAATTTGCCAGAAAAATCATGAAAATAGGGCTAAAAATATAAAAAATATAATTTTTCCGTTGCGTTTTTTTTGCATCTTACTGTATTTTATATTATATTCTGCAATACTGAAGTTAAATAAACATATACAGATTACAAACAAATACTAAGATAATAGGTGAGCAGTAATTTGATCAAAATATACTTTTTAGTAGGACTAGTAACTTCACAAGACGAATAGACGTCATAGAGTTTAAAAAAGTAAGTAGCAAAATTATGATATATTGCTTGGTTTATCAATATGTCCAAATATTATATAGCAACCTATTTACCAAGTTAAAAAGCCTAAAATGACTTAGTATTGACTTGACATTTAACTTAATAGAATGTGTACATACACATTCTATTAAGTGCTTTTATTAAACTTGATCAATAGTACCAGTTTAAAAAAACTCTAACCGGGTAAAGTGAGAGTACAAAAGCGGGATTGTCCATTACATTGAGGAGGAACAGATAATCGCAGTCTACAACTCAGTCTATATAGAGGCTTAGGTTCATACATACGAATATTTATTTAAAGGATGGTAATCTAAAGTTTCTTTGTAACAATTTTACTAAAATACTTCTTGTATATTGTAGTATATATATTTTGTCTAAGGACCTTAAAACAAGTTGCAGTGTACTTAATCCTAGTTATTTTTATAAAGCTAGGTTGGGGAGCACTGCTGTTATAAAATATATGCATAATTCTTGTGACTATGATATTCATTTTATAAAAAAAAATCAAAAATATCTTTTTTTTGGAAAAAAAATTGTTGTAACAGTTCTAAAATTAATCTTAAAGTGCAAATATTGCTTATATGAAATAACTATGATAAAATCCATAAATTATCTTTGTTAGAATAAAGAAATAGAAATAATAATCTTCAGAGAGGAAGAGAGAGCCTTTATATTACCCTATTTTGACCTATACCTGAGAAACCCTCTTCATTGGTCATTCACTGTAGCATTAAAGATAAAATTTAACTAACTAAAATCATTCAATAAAATTTTTTGTCATATTCACGTTATGCTCTCCAAAAACATATTTTATAACAGCAGTGCCAAAATACTCTTAACAAATACAAATATACATCACAAAACACTTCAAACTTTTAAAATCGTGTTGTAAATATGTGTATATTTATCTAACTACCGTTTTATTATATGTAATCCATTTCTATATTTAAGCGGCAAAATGTGTATTCAAGCGTAAATTGACTTCAATTTCGTACCTCTAATTTTTTTACGATATGATGAAATGATTTAGTGATATGATGATAATTTGTGACAGTGAATTGCGCTGGGGTACATTTAAAAGTTTATTGTTACATAGTAAGCGTTAGGTTTGCTTTGTGGAAATGTGTCAAAATGTTAAGTTGCACTGAATATGTCATATATTTTTACTTAATTTGTCTTCTTTTTAAATTATTTTTTACAAAATTTTTTTTTGTTAGTCTTATCTAGTTATTTTTAGTTATTTATTATATTCCTTTAATGTAGTAGGTTTATCATTTTTATTTAAATTTGTTGTTCACATTGAAATTTTTCTTGTAAACCTCATGTTCATAAAAATATCAAACTGATGATTACTTAAATGTAAGAATACATTGAGACCTATTTAAGTTTTATTCAGTGCAACCAAACATTTAGTTCAAAAATTTCGATCATTTATATTTCGTAATAAAAACTTATTACCGAGTGTTATGCCGATTTGTTTCTCTTTAAGTCTTAACATGAATTTCGTAGAAGCTTTTCACCATGCCCAACATACTCACTTTTTCTTCCTTTGGAGCTACGGCAGGCTCAACAACTGGTTTCCCCTGGACACTTTTTTCTTCTGCCTTTTTCTCCTTCAACGTCTTCAATAACTTCCATTTACTTCCCGGTGTTTCCTTTGATGCTTCTTTGGGAGCTTCTTCTTTACTGGGTGTCGCACTAGCAACTTGAATCTGTGGTATAGATTGGTCATCTTTTTCGTAGTCCTTACTCTCATGGTGTTGCATGGTTTCCCTATTCATTCGTTCTTGCTGTTCCTCTTGCGAGATATGACAACGTGCAAATTCGTCGTTGATTCTCATTTCAAGCTCATCATATTCGTCCGTGCTTTGATGCGGACTATCAGGTCCAGAAGTAGCTCCAGATGAGCCACCTTCGTCTTCATCTTTTGGAGGTTCTTCCAAACGGTCATAGTCTCTAACTTCTGGCTCTGGAGTCATTACTGATGGTTCTTCGATAGGGGGTTGTTCTAGTTTTTCTTGTTCTAACGACTCGTGGTGATAGACTTTAATTTTCTCGAACAACGCTGCCGCTTCATCAAGATGAAACGAACCTCGGTGCTCACGCTTTCTAGCTGAATTCACTGCGAGTAGGTTATTTTCTTTTTCATCCAAAACACCTTCAACAACTTTAGCTTTCATCCTTAGCTCTCTTAGAACAAATGACATTTTTTCCTTAACCTCCTCCTCGGGTTCATACCTTTCTTCTTCAGGCTCAGGTACTTCGTGAAGAGTTGAACCCATCTCAACTTCCAAATGAGTCTGTCTTTCCATTTCTTCCAGTTTTCGGAGTTCGTAACAATACCATTCGTCCTCGCTGTCTATGCTATCTTCAGTGCTCTGTCTCCTTGACGAAACTCGAGAGGTACTTCTCCACGAATGGGTGCTTCTGCTGTCTTCGTCGTCTCCTCTGTGACTGGGTATTTCCAAGCTTTGCTGGTGTCTCGGAAGGTATCGGTTTATCGTTGCTCGTAATATCGGACTTCCTTCTATGGAAGGTTCTTCGTATTTGTTATTATCAATACTGCCGGTGCTTTCGACAGATTTTTGCTCGATAATGTGAGGCGTGTTTTCGGGAGGTGGCTTTATTTCTGGTTTTTCAGTTTCGTCAGGAATTTCTTCTATTTTAACATTGTTTTCGGTGTTGTCGGCTATTTGGTCTTCGGATATTGAATTGGAATGTTTTTGTCTGTAGCGTCCTAAGGCTCTGGAAACAGCAAACTCCATGGACGCACCCCCTACTACTACGACCATTTTATTCTCTGTTATTACTGTTTCGTCGCTCTTTTCTGACGATCCACTGCTCCGTTTTGCCTCTCCGACAGTAGAAAAAATATTACTCGATCCACTTCCTGTACTTTTCCCAGAATGGTCTTCCTCGTGCTGTTGAACATCCTGCTGGAGTTCTGGAAGGTACTCTTTAGGTGATGTCTTCACTGGTTCAAAAATAGGCTGTAACTGAGCGTTTTGTGCTTCTTCATCCGACTTACTACTCTTCCTACTCTTAGATTTTGGACTAATTTTAGGAAATAAATCCCTTTCAAAAATATTTTCTGATATGCTTGTACTATCTTCACTCCGGTCATCCTCAGAAACCACCGAACTGGCTCTTTTAATCACCCACTCGTTTTCAGATTGTTCTGGATCAGAAAGGGAATGATGCGATCCAACACTTTTTCTTTTCGCTTTTTGAAGGATCCCTGAGACAGTTGAGACTATGGCATTTCGTTTTTTCTTTCTGGCACCATGAGGTTTACCCGATGTATTCCGGCCCTTATCCGTTTCGTCTTTTTTTGTCCCTCCCGGAAGAGAATAGGATCTATGTCTTTTAGTTAAATGAAGATCTGGAAACCAGTTGCTAACGGAATTCATAGCCGACTTTAAGGTATTTCCCCTTTTCAGTTTCTTTCCTTTTTCTTCTCGGGTTTGTGTTTGGTTGTTGGTTATAGTTATGTACCCTGATTGAGTCATAATCGCCCCAGTGGCCTCATAGTACGCATTTCCTGATTGCTGAGGATGTACGATATATTCAGGAACGGTTCTGTTTCGTAAATCTAAGTCTAGCCTGGACGCGTCTTGCCGTTGGTTCCAACTCCGCTGATGCTGTTCGATTTGCTGTTGGTTCTCGTAAATTGGTTGGTTCTGAATTGCTTGTTGATTCCTCCTGTCCATGTATGGACTCTGAGCGTATCCAGTTTCAGACGTTTCAGCCGATTTCATCGAACTAGACGTACTGGCCGTATCAGCATAAGCTGCTTCGGGCGGACAATTTAGCCAGGCACCTGGATCGTTGAAATTCCCCGGTGGAAGGTTGTTCATTGCCGAGTCATATCGGCTGGATGTGGGATAATAACTCAATGCATCGGTGATGTTGCCTGTAGGAAACATAGTTCGGTACATCGCTGTTCGATAGCCATCGTGATTCGCAATGTTTTCAGGCGGTTTACTTGTTGAATGTGACCGAGAATGGGAGTTTCTCCTAGATTGGTTCTGATCTGGAGCACTACTTGAAGAAGTCGATAAGGTATTGTAATACTGAAGCTGTTGTGCGGTAAAAAATTCGTTGTTTTCGTATGGCTCAACTAAATCCGGGTAATGGATAGTTTGGTTAATGTAATCTGCACTGTTGCTCGTGTAAACGCTCGTGTAGGAGTCTTTGTTATTACTACCAGCGACGGAGTAAATAGCAGGTTGGTCGTTCTGATACATATATCCCTGGATAGGATTGTAAGCTGTACTCTGTGCCTCAGCTAGCGTGTTCCTGTTGGGACTCACATTGATATCTGACGCAGGCGCAGGTGCAGGTACAAAAGTTCCATAACTATCGAGTTGAATGTTACCAGGGGATTTGACGTTAGTGAAGGCTGATAAATGATGCCCACCCGGTAGAATTTCGTTTGTAGACAGGTGAGTATTAGAGGTTATTTTCGAATCTACTGATGATTCCGCGTAGCCCCTTGATTTACCTGGGGAACCACCCGCTCCAGGCGAAGAAGGTCTATTATTAAAAGCAAAATATCCGTACGGCTTCACCACTCCATTTTTGGGAGATCCTGGCGATTTTTCTAAACTGGACCAGCCGGACATCGAGGACAGACCCGAATCCGACTTGGCGGCGACTATATTGGACGAATGAGACTTACTTCTTTTCGGAGAAGATTTAGGTGATCTGGGTGAGTGTGGCATTGGACCCAGGTGCTCCTGGTTGCTAGTAGAAGAGTCGCCAGGTCCGAGGAAGACGTTGTTTGAGGCATTGTTAAGAAAAACTCCACCGGGTGCGGGCGGAGGCGGACTAGGTGACTGGCGAGACGGTTTTTTCGGTTCTAGGTACCCGTCCTGTCGCGTGCGCACGCTGCAGATAGATAAAGTAGGCGAGGAGGCTTTCTCCGACATGATATGAAATATGTTCGGTGTGGAACAAGGAACGGTATCGTAGGAGGCGGATATAAGTTCGTTTAAGTCTAGGTTACTGCAGTAGAACGGGTTTTTCGAGTTTCGAAGAGCCGCAGCTGCCGCGGCGGCTTCGGCTGACTCCACGTGCTGCACCGCAGCGCTGTAAGCCAACCGACCGTCAACGGTTGAAAACGGTTCGCTGTTAACACTCTCCACTTGTCTTCTACGAGGCGAAGTAGGCGTCCTCATCCCACCGGCAAGCGTTTCCGCTACTTCCTTATCCGGATCACTAATAGAAAGTCTCGAACTGGGCCTTGTGGTGTATGAAGTGTTCGATAGCTCCGTCTTGGCGAGCATCATTAGTTCGTTTTGGTCCCGCACGTTGCTGGAAAAAGACCAGTTCTCGTCCTCCACCTGCGTCCTGGACGGTTCCTCGCTGATACCCGCTAGGGAAATGGGTGACTCCAACAGTTTCCTCTGCAGTTGCTTGATGTTGACGCTGTCCTGTTGCAATTTGTTACTGAGCCTATCTAATTCGTTGAGTTTCTCTATGGCCATGTGATCGATGGAGTCGATGCGGGTCAGTTCGGCGATATCCTGCTCGCTAACGCACGACGAGTTTCCTCGGTAATCCTTGTAATCCAACGCGCTATAAATCTCTTCTTCTTCTTCGTCCAACGGTGTTTTATTCTTTTCCATTTCTTCCGCTTCTTCGCGTTCCTCCCAAATCATATCCAGTTGGCTGGGCTGACAGACCGGGTCGCAGCTGACGAGTTCTTCCTCGTAGGCTTGGTTGAGGCTGCGGTAGAAGGCTTCGTCCGGAACGTGCATTTCGTCGATTTCCTGGATTTGGGGCTCGTGGGTTCTAGTAACGTCCAGTCCTTCTTCCAGTCCGTCCTCGACAGCTCCGTTGCCTAATATCTCTCTAATAACTTCCAGCTCTCCTAAAAATAATTTAATTAATTCAAGTTTATGAAATTAACCTTTCAGTGGTCTGGCAAATTGTGCTTCATTGTGGTTCTCTTTAAAATTTAAGTCTTCTTCTAGAAATTTTAAGTGGCATGCTTTAGTTAGTGATAGCATACGCTTTTTCTACACTGAAAAAAATAAAAGTAATTTTATAAAAAAAAGATATTTTTACATACTTTCGCAAAAAAATGTAATTTTACAAAAGAGTTTATTAATATTAAATGATTATTACAAAACGATATTATTTTCACAATGAGTTTTGTGAGTTTAAAAATTAAATTTAAATCAGAAATACAATCTCCATTTATTATAATTATTTGCATTTTAATTTTAGCGTTTTTTTTATGTAAACATAATTGTTCCATGATCTCTCTATATCAACATATCTCAAGTATTATTTATTCTTTCAGACTGTGTTTATAGAGGACCGGAGTAGAAGACATAATCTCTAAGTTGGTCAGTTGACTGTTTTCTTACATGTTTTTTTATTTTGTATCGAAGGGCAATTTTGTTCTTAATTTGGTTAGGCTCAAAATTCCAGTAAGGTTCTCCTAGACAAGAAGAGATGGCAATGAGTATCTTACATACATAAGTTCTGTTTTGTGACTTTTTATTATATTATATTTATTACCCTTTGTAATAAATTTTATTAATATACTATAAATACGTGTTTTATTAAATTTATTAATATTTACCGACACTTTGTGAATTTACAAAAGTAATTGTAAATTCACTATAATAAAATGTTTAAATTATTTGTTATTCTATAGTAACAGTACAAGAAGTTGGCGATTTTAAAATATATATTTACAATGAATAATAAATTTACTATGAGATACACATTTTTTACATAAATTCACGGAAAATATTGGTGAATATAAAGGTATATTATAACATATTTACATACATGCCACAAATTAGCCATACAGCGATTTTACAAACGAGTTTACTACAATAATCTGTGGCAATAAATAACCATCAACATTGTTATTAAATTAACAAATAATTTTTTCAGTGTAGAGTACGGCGCAGTAAGAAAGTGATAGATTTCCGGAGACCACTGAAAGGTTTCCCGTGTCTCGTCATACCTAATCGACCCTCTAACATCGAAACAGTTGCTCCAGACCGATGTCCCGCACCACCCGACGTGTAAAAATTGAGCAACTGCGAGATCACGCTCTGCTGCTCGAACAGCAACCCTTCCAGCTTCTCCAGCCGCTCCCACATCTTGATGTACTCCTGGCTGAGCAGGTCCAGAGCGCGCCACGCGTACTTCAGCTCCGTTTCCAGGATGTTGAGGCGCGTGCCCAGGCGTTCCATGTACTCGTTGATGACGTGGTCGACGTTGGCGTCCTGGTAGGGTACGGCGGGCGCCATATTGTCCGAACCGTTGGCCAGGTGTCTATCGCTCATCGTGAACGGTCAACGGACAAGTGTTCTGAGTGATGGTCTAAGCGGGGTACCGTCTTTCATGATATGTTTTCGGATGAGGCACGTACACTTGAAAGGGACATCGAGATCTTTTTATTAATCTGATTGAACCATGTGTCCGTTTGGTGTTTTCAAGAATTTTGTCTAGTGTATTACTGAAAGCCAGGAAAAATTTGACAATTGAATTTTAAAATAATGGCGTGAGTGATATTCTTTATTTCTTTGAATCTGGTAGTATACCCTAGTATATATACCTGTATGAGTAAGCACGTATACCGTGCTGGCAACTCTTACTTTTGGGTCGGAATTTACATGTGTGGAAGTAAATCGCATAAGGATCTCATTAAATCGGAGTGAGAGAAATGCGACGGTGTGCTGTTGCGGCGTTGCCACATTTCTCCGGTACGTCTTTCCCTATCAAGTAAAGTAAAATCACGATTTTTAAAAGCCTTTTTTAAGATTACTAGATAAAATCATTAGATATGTTTCTGAGCATCTGAAATTGAACTATAAAGATATCGTTAGGGTGTCCATTTTTTTATAACGAGAAAATGTCAGTAATCGCGATAATTTAAAAACTCAACTTTAGATATTGAACCTCTTTTTTTATTTTGAAGTTCAGTCAGTTATGTCCTAATTCTTCCCTATTTTAGGTCTTTTTTTATTAGTGGCAATTGGACAATATGAATATTTTTTTGTATGGCGTATGACGTCACAGGTGGTATGCGCAAACTTAACGAAATTGGAGCCGCTATCGATCATACCTTGTTTTCTTTGTACCATGGGGCTATCCCATATATCTGGACGGGGCCTACTTTGTTTACGCGGAATCCGAACCTCGGTCCTCGGCCATATCATGGTCAATGGCTTATCGACTTAGGAAGTGTCTAAAGGTTGTCGCCCACTAGACCGCGGCGCGGCGCGGCGCTGGGAAGAGATTTTTTTCCGGCTGCGAAGGGACTGCGCCCACTATAGCGCGCTTTTGAAACGCGGAAACGCTATTTAGTTAGTTGAAGTGTTTTTTACTTACTGTAGTTTAGTTTTTAAAGCAATGAGTTCAAGTACGGACGAAAGCGTATTTTTTCTGCTCTTCTAACAGAGGAAGAGGAAGAGCAGGTGAAGAAGAAAAGGAAAGTTTGGACTCATAAAATTAACAAAAAAAGAAAGAAGTTTGGAGAATTTTACCATCTTTTTCCTGATTTAATAAAATACAAGAGCATTTTTTCCAGTATTATTTTCAGTATTATTTTCAAATATAAAGGAAACATTTTACAAACTCCTCAATTGAGGGTTTTAGAAGAAAAACACCCGGTATCTCTACTCGTCATATTTTTTCAGAAGAGACAAATTACTAATAATGCAATAATGAATCGCTTATACCTGGCGACTTTTGATAATTTTTATTTATTCTGATATGTATACTGGATATTAGTTATGTGATGAAAAACCCTTAATCTTTTTTATATATTTAGGTAATTAGAATTTAAAAATTGGAGATTGTCATTTTTGTTAAAAAGTGGAGATTGCCGGTTTTACCCCTCAATTATATTAGCGAATTGTTTGAATTGATTAAAAAGAAAAAAAAACGCATACCTGGGGCACATAATGCGAAACCCCAAATATCAATTCTTGCATTTGTTGATCGAAGGCAAGATCGAAGGCCGGAGGGGTATTGGAAGGAAGAAAATGTCTTAGCTGAGGAATATTAGACAGTGGACAGGGCTACACGATTTTCAGTCGTTAATACACACCGCCCGGAACAGAGAAGCAATGGAAAATGTTATCGCAAACATCCATTAATGGATCTGCACTAGAAGAAGAAGAATAATTATGTTAAATCTTTGATAGAAAATTTTGATAAAATTTGATAGGATTGTTTTTTTTCATTCAAAAATTTACAAAAAAAAACGTTCATTTACTTTTAATGCATAGCAATTTTCAGAAATCGTGTTTTACAACTTTTTTATTTGTAGACAGTATGTAATGATTTTCACGTACGTGTGAAGAAAATATAGCAGAAACATTAAGAAAGTCTTTGAAAAAAAAAACTACAATCAATTATTTCTAATGAATTTCAAGATATCGATTTTTGAATTCAGTTCTAATAGCGCGACCGACCACTGTCAAACACCAACTCAATTCCACTTATTTTTACCAAAAGTATAAGTGTTTCTAACTTGCTCTTAAAAGTTTACGAGCTATAGAGAAAATTACGACGACTCGTTAATACATAACAAATAAAGTATCACGAGACGTAATTAAATCGTGAAGCTGAACGCATAATTTACACCCTTCTGTATCTGCTGTATCCCCGTCCACGTCCCTTAACAATGTGCACATATTCTCGATTTATTTCATACGTTTGGCAACGTTTTTACTGTTCTCTCTTTTTTCAGTACATTATAAACTTATTGTACTCTTCTTACATACGGAAATCTCGACCTAAAACTAATCTTTGCCAGCCCTTAGTATATAGAATGTAATGTGGAAAAAGTGGTATAACTTTAAAACTGTTACAGATTGACAAATAAAAATGGTTATTTTTAAATTGCTTAGATGTTCCCTAAATTACGGTTGTTACAGTTTTAATTTTAGTTAAAAAAGATTTTATAGATTTTATTTTAATCAGTATATTAATTTAACAGAAAAATGACTGTGTAGCCAATAAGTCATTCGTCAGTGATTTTTTTTAAAATCCTTTAACTTTAAACGGATCAAATGATATGATGTCACAATAGCAGTACAAATTATAGTCGACTCTTCTCGTATATCCATTAGTACATTACAAAAATATAATACTAACTAATAGAAAAATAATCTAACAATAAATAAAAATTGTGGTAACTTTTAAAATCCAAAATCTTCGTGTTTTATGATAAAAATAGACAATCTTGCATATAGTTCCGAAAAATTTAAACGCGAAAATAGCTTACTAAGTACATAGCCAATTTTAGATTGGTAGAACTAAACTGTAAAAGTTTCCAAATCGTTTTTCTTTATTGTTCATTTTGGTAAATACCTACACAACGAAATCCAGTAGTATAATAAATTTATGCTTCGAGATGCTAGTACTAGAAGCAAGCTTGGAAAATACGAAATCTGAATGGCTATATTTCAGATAAAGCGCTTTTTATAGATAAAGTCGGGTTGTGTTTATTAGGATACGTAAAGTGGAGTGGATATAAAAAATTGGCACTGCTAAATCTTCGCGTAGTCTTGGAAAAATATTACTTTATCTTAAAAGAAACAGAGTAGTTGTTTTGAAGTTCTTATATTACATAATATCCATAAAAAATAAGAAATAATTTTTATTTATTCTGGATTGTTTGACAACTTTAATTTTATCCTTCACAATAATTTTAAAGAAAATTTAAACTTAAGTTGAGTAATAAAAGAGAAATATTAAGCAAGTTAAATTTTTTATAACTAAATTTAATTAGGTTTGCTATTTTATTAAGGAATGCTTTGATAAATTTAATTATTTATTAAAAAGAAACTAAAATTAAATTTTAATCAACTGCTGATGATGCTGACTTGGTTAGCGAAACGCACGTCCAGTGTAAAAGCAAAGTGTTCTGGTGTATTGTGGTGAATTAGTGTTTTATTTTGCTGTAACACCAAAAATTTGGACAGCTATTTGGTAATTTTGATAATTATAAATATAAATGAACTGCCATTATTTCTTTTTATTTAAATACGTTAGTTTTTTTTCTTAAGAATGAGGGTATTAAATCTGTTTGTTTACATGTACAGAGTGAGTCAAATTGGACGTTTTTAAAAGGAAACACCCTTTTCTATAAGACATAGATGAAAAATAATATCAGTGTCTGGAGCTCAATTTTTATCAAAACATGATGGTGAACACAGCACATGTGTTACCGTTTCGGAGTTTTTTCAAAAATATGCATTTTTAACAAATCGCTGTAACTTTTCAGGGATTTTTTTTCTTTTTTTTTGAGAAATGTTCAAAACCGGTCCAGTCTGTCCATAACAGAAGACGGTCGTAGCACCGTTCGACAAGATATGTCGAACACCTGTAGCAAAATCTCATGTCTTGGTTTGCTATTTATTTTTATTGTTATTAGATATAGTTTAAATGTATTGATGCTGCAATATAATTTAAATTGTTATAAAATTCTGCATCTCTCATTGCAAATAGTATTTTCCTTTTAATTCCTGCTCACAGCTAGAATTTTTTTGCAATACAGCCGGCACCGTTCAAAGCCTACTTATTCAAAGCGGGTGAATTTTTATGAATTCTATATATCGAAAAAGAATCCAGTAAAATATCAAATATGCTATATTTTTGGAAAGGTAATCTTAAATTATTTTCAATGAATTAAAAATATACGGGGTGTTCCATATAAAAAATCAAATTTTGTATTGATAATTCTTCAATTATTAATTTAAAAAAATAGACTTAAACCGTTAAATTCTATGTAAAAAGGTGTTTTGGAAATATTTTCATAAAAATACAAAATTTTCAATAGCAAAAAAGTTACAGCGATTTGTTAAAAATACACATTTTTGAAAAACACTCGTGTGGTGGATGTGCGGTTTTCACCATCATGTTTTTGATAACAATTGAGCTCCAGACACCGATATTAGTTTTCGTCTATCTCCTATAGAAAAGGACGTTTCCCTTTAACAGCGTCCAATTTGGCCCATCCTGAATATGGGCATTTATTGAAGAATTGCCACTGTTAAAAGATATGTCGTTTTCAGTCTATTACAAGAAAAACATGTAATGCATACTACGGGCATCACAGACGTAGGTCTAACTAAATAAAAATCATTAAAAAATTAAATAAAAAGAGAAATTTTAGATTAATAAAAAGATCTGATGTACCTCAAAGAATCAACCCCCAAACTATCACACCCCAACTATTACCCGCTAACTCTACCAATCTTTCTCGCTAACGCAAATTCGTTGTCAATCCCTTCGACGGTTTTCCTCTGAGTGCAGTTTGTCGCTGAACGAGAAACAGTCTGCGCTGGCGCTCGTCGCCCACGTCGATCAGTTTTGAGCGCATCTTTCCCGAGAACTGAACAGAGCGACCGAATTTACGACAGACATCGTACCGCACACTCCGGCACCGACACTAAAACACCAACAGATCTAGGTTTGGGTTCGCTTGTCTGCGTCATTTCTTCCTGTCTGAAACAGAATCTCGATTAGTCGGTACTGACAGAATTTTGTCTTATTTTGACTAAATGAAAGTAAAGTACATACTAAAATATATATTGTTTGAATATTGAATTTTTTTTTGATTAAAATTTCCCTTTCATTGAAATTAATTTATGATATAACATACAGGGTGGTCCGAACTGTATTCCGGAAACTTCGGCAGCATATTCTGTAGATGAAAATAAGTTAAAAAGTTCGTATAAATGCATGTCTTAAATTTTTATTTCGATTTTTCCCAAATAATATCTGAAGTAAAGTCAATATTTGGATGAAAATTGGTGCCTGAGAAATTTTTGACATGAGAAATTTGATTTTGTTGTCAATATGACTCCTATTTGTAGGAGGCTTTTTGAAATTTAATAACTTTTCATCCGCACCTGTATAAAACTATTGAGTAGAAAACTATATATTTCTGTGACCTTTTTATGTAACACATATCTCTTGGTCAAAATCGACTAAGTAACCGTTCCCAAGATATTTAGAATGGAAATTGTCAATACATGTCATTATTGGTAAAAATAAAAACGTTGAGTAGATAGTTATTTGCCTGAAATAATAAATTTGGAATTTTTTTATTTATTTAATTGATCCTAAATTTTTCTGCGAAAAAAATATGATAAAACAGTTTCAGTTACTCGTAGCAATTTTTACTAAGAGATCTTCTTTACGTAGAACACGTCGTAAATGTATATTTTTTTACTCAGTAGTTTTATACAGGTACGGAAAAAATATGATAAAACAGTTTCAGTTACTCGTAGCAATTTTTACTAAGAGATCTTCTTTACGTAGAACACGTCGTAAATGTATATTTTTTTACTCAGTAGTTTTATACAGGTACGGATAAAAAGTTAATACTCTTAAAACCAATTAAAAAATATGTGGTTGGCGCCCTCTACAAGTAGGAGTCATATTGACATCAAAATCAAATTTCTCATGTCAAAAAACTCCCAGATACCAATTTTCATCCAAATATTGACGTTACTTCAAAAATTATTTAGGAAAAATCGTAATAAAAATGAAACTTCTATATCCTGTATCTCCAAAAACTAAGCATTTTAGGACATACATTTATACGAACTGTTTTACTTATTTTTATCTGAAGAATATGCTGCCGAAGTTTCCCGAATACAGTTCGGACCACCCTGTAGATACAAATGTGAATATTAAGGATATTTTTTTGATGTGTAGAGTGTTGGCGGTCTATTTTGTTCTTAAACAGTCTTTAACTTTGTAATTTTTGATTTTTTTGAAGGACTAGAACCAGGATTTAGAAACAAAAACAAGGACTAGAAAGCTTGACACCGTTATTGCTATGAACTATACCGGGTGATCTTCAAAAGTGGTTCACCCCTATACCTTTCTTATTTCTTCAGATAACGAAACGAGATTTGGTATATTGGTATATGACATAATCAGAACTACTGATTGATATATTCAAATAGTTCAGGATTATTTCTGTCACTGCCTGTTTCACCGGAAATGACAACTTTTGATTTTTAAATAGTTTTTAAATGGAGTTTTAACATCTACCTACTAATGCTCAAACTAACAAAATCTAGATTGTGTAAAAACTTTTCTTTAACTTTTTAACCAGTGCGTTGCTTTCAAATTTAAATATATTGGTACTAAAATAAAAAAAAATCATGATTTTTGGCTTCATATTGTTTGTAAATAATAAAATGCATAATAGTTTTCAGTCCGAATATATGAAAAACAACAAGAAATTCAAGTTTTTGAACAGAAAATGTTCATCATAAAAACAACGGTTATGATAAACGGATGAAACTTATTTTTTTATAAACGGTTGAAGTGTTTTATGACAAACCATAATAATTTATAATAAATAAATAATAAATAATAAACACCAGCAGTTTTTAAAAAATATTGGTTTAGTTAAATATGAAATAATATTTTTGAGATAGACCTTATAAATGAAACTGTGTATCTAAAAATAAATTTCCATGCAAATGTAGATAATGTGTTAAAGAAAAAAAAAGTGTAAAGGATATAAACGATCCTTAGTCAGCTTTGCGGCTCTCGTTACGAGATCTCACATGGGAAAACAAGAACAAGGGTTCTTGTCCAGAGGTGAGAGAATCTAGAAGATCCACCACTACGCTGTATATTGTGGAAAAATTATTGTAAATGTCGGAGATTATCGATTATACTTGATACCTAATTTATAAGAAATTATTATAAAAAAATTGTTTTTAATATTATATTTGTATTTATTATAAATATAATAATAATAGTATATAGCGTTTAACGCCTTGGGAGTAGCAAAGTACAGCTTGCCATACTAAAGCCGTTCGGTATACAAGGAAGGTAATGTGGCTAGCACTACGCTTCAACCGCCTATTATTACCTCAGGATTGTGAATCCCAAGTATTCATTTAAGGCTGAGTCGACCTAGGTACCCAAACTATTTTTATTTTAATAAAAATAGTCGGCTGATAAAATGCCGGGTGTGGGAATCGAACCCACTACCTTCAGATTGGTGGACGAGAGCCTGTACCTCTACGCCACCGGGCACCTTTTATTATAAATATAATTTTGATAAAACTGACAATCACCTAAAAATCAAAACGCGTTTCTATAGTAATATAATTTCGTTTTTATTCTTTGATAGATTGTTATTGATAAAATTTTTATTAACGTCACATTTTTTCTTGTTTTAAAATGTTAAAGAAGCACAAAATTTATTTAGTTTAATGCTACAGAAAGGGTAATGAGAGTTATCGGAAAATGTAATACTTTAACAACAGCAAAAAATATGGCGTTAATCAAAATTAATAATATCCATCAATCAAAGAATAAAATCGAAACTATATTACCATAGAAACGCCTTTTCATTTTTAGGACCTTCATTCAGAACCTCGCAAATACTGGAATAAATTAGTGGTTTCAATTACACTTTATACTTTTTAGTTTACGATCATTCACAATATTTATAAAACCACAATTAAAATTAATAGAATATCCTAGCAACAGCTTGCGGTAGTCAGTTGTATCCATAGAGAAAGTCTAATATTTAGGTTAGAAAACAATCAACTTTTGATTTTTAACCACAATTTCTTTTGACGGAAGATAATCAAAGACCAAAATGACATTCCTAGCAAATTTTGAAGTATAATTCGTGGAAAAGTTAAAAGTTTGATAACTTTTTCTACTAATTGAAAATGTCTACCACTAATTTTGACGTTCTTAATGCTTACATTGAAAGTAAAGGAACAAACTTCTACGCTAATTGAAACCACTAATTTATTCCACTAATTGCGAGGTTCTAAATGATGCTTTACAAAAAATTTAACCATATTTTTAGGGTTTTTTTTCAAATTTTCTCTAAAATAGTATGCAAATTTGGAAAATTGTAAATGTGATTTACAATTTTAGAACGAGCAACAATTGAAAAAATGCATGTTTCTCAAAATGTCAACAATAAAAAATTTATTCCTCTTCTAAAGGCAATCCGGGGACATACTGTAGAATAAAAGTTAAACATATCTAGATATAATTCTATTTTCAAACAAAAAGAATAAAACTGTGTGTAAATAATTGGCGTATCAGAAAACTTTTCTATCAAAACCATTCATTAGAATCTACAGCATTGCCAATTATAAATCATACTAAATACCCCTAAACCCTAAATTAAACTAACTTTATCCGAATTTAACGTAAAGACTGCACTTGTAAACTTGTACGGGCTCATCATTAATCAAATTAGCGTTCGCCTTATTAAAACTTCGTTATGTCATAAATAAAACGGCTTTATTGATTCGAATCGTCTCGCAATTATGGTCACTTTGCACGCTATTGCCAGTGGCAGTAGCCAAAAATCGAGCAACAGTTTGGGCCGAGTTTAGAACAGGGTTGGATCGTGCTGAATTATTAATTTGTTTTGAAATTTGGTACGGAAAACACAATATATTTTATACGTCTTGGGAACATAAAGTTATAATGCGATACTATAAAGTCAGCTTTAAGTGAGAACTTGCAAATTGTAGACTGTAAATTGTATGGGAGGGGGGGGGGGGGGGGGGAATTAATCACAGTGACCTTACTAGGTCTATTGTGCCCCCCTTTCTTAAGTTATAACTTAGTATACCGTACAGTATAAATATGTCAATTTTCAAAATATATAGTCAGACGATTGTGGTGTAGCTGTGCAATCATTGAAGCAAATGTGTAGCAAAGTACACAATTGTGTAGCTTGTGGCAACCCTGATAAGTATACCACGTTATGGTATGGTCTTTTTCCTGCTGAGCAAACGTTTCTCTCTACAGTGAGTGTTTCTAAAAGTTGTACCGGCTAGTAGAAAAATCGGCTAGTAGAAGAACTACAGTCGGATGAGATTATGGGAATGATCTCGGATCTTACACCACCAGTCCAACTCTTGACGCGCACCTACAACGTCCTGTTTCCGAACAGGGACGAGTGGGATAAGCCGGGAAACGGCTTATTACATGCGGAAATGTGTTGGTACACGGACGGATCCAAAAACGAAAAAGGATCTGGCGCAGGAATTTACTGCAGCAGTCCAAAGACTGAGATCTACCAGACTCTTGGAAAACACACCACTATTTTCCAAGCTGAGCTATATGCGATTGAAACCTGTGTGCAACTGCTGGTAGAACAGCAATACACCGGGAAAACAATATGCATATTTTCGGATAGTCAAGCTGCGCTGAAAGCACTTGAGGCAACGAAAAGCACGTCTATGACGATTCTTCATTGTAAGAAACTACTCAATATACTGGGAGATAGAAACAAAGTGTCGCTAATATGGATACCGGGACATGTCGGCCTAGAGGGAAATGAACGTGCTGATTCCCTCGCCAAAATTGGTGCAGGCTCGCCATTCGTGGGCCCAGAACCGACACTTAGCGTTCCTAAAAATCTCGCAAGAGACAGGCTCTGTGAATGGGTTAGGGGTGAGACATTCCGAGACTGGAATGACAGTCCCGGAATGGAGCATGCCAAGAAAATCCTAGCAGGGCCATCCAAACATAGAACAGGAGAACTCCTAAAGGCCGGTAGGAATGGAACGCGTGTGCTCACTGCAGTGGCCCGTGTACACTGGGCCACTGCCGGCTGAGATCTCACCTACAGAGGACGGGACTGGTGGAAGACGCCGAA